CGCGTAGTCCGCACTCTTGCCTATCCGCGGGTCTAGGGGCACAGCGCCCAGGAAGTCAACTCCCATATCCTGCGCGAGCCTCCGCCCTCCACCGGTACTCGGCTTGAAGATCTGCGACTCGTTCTTGCAGCTCGGACACACGAAGCCAGACATGTTCTCCACGAGACCGATCACCGGTATGCCGACCTTCCTGCAGAAGTCGATCTCGCGCCGGACGTCCTGGAGCGCGACCTCTTGTGGCGTGGTGATGACGACGGCACCGTCGATGCCGCTCTCTTTGAGGTAGGTTACGATGCTGAGGTGCTCGTCGGACGTGCCCGGGGGCGTGTCGATGACGAGGTAGTCGAGCTCGCCCCAGTCGACGTCCTTGAGGAACTGCGAGATGAGCCCGTTCTTCTTGGGCCCCCGCCACATGACTGCGTCCTTTGAGGAGGGAAGCATGAAGCCGACGGACATGACACCGAGGTTGTCTTGTACGTAGACGGGTGACCATCCTGAAGAGGATGCGTGCACTTGCTCAGATGCGATGCCGAGGATGGTAGGGATCGAGGGGCCGCAGATGTCAACGTCCATGATCCCTGTCTAACAGATACAATGAGGCGGGGAATGGCATCATGGCGATTAGGTACGCACCTGCAATGTATCGTCCGCCGCGAATGCCCACCCTAGCTGCGCAGTGAAAGTGGACTTGCCAACTCCGCCCTTCCCGGAGAGGACGAGGATCTTCCGCTTCACAGTCGACATGCGCTCCCGTACGAATGGTAGGGCAGGGTCTGGTCCCTTCGCGACTCCGGACGCACATATCTCCTGGTTGGCACATCCCGCGCATGCATCTGCCTTTCCTGCCAATTCCGACTCCGTTCCCTGGCGGTGTGGTCAGAACGTACCTCGATCTGAAGACGGAACAGCTTACAGGACAATGTTCAGGCGCATTGGCAGGGACCGAAAGCGGATCTGGAAGAGGTACAGCCTGCTGTACGGCTATCATGCCTAATATTGTTTCGATGTAGAGATTTGCGTGTATAGAACAGTCAGAGCAGGAGATGAAGACAAGAGTTGACTCAGAGCAGCGGCCACCAAGCCCAAATCTCCGATTTGTCAGTCAATCCGTGTGACATTATGATGATTACGCGTCCGTTACCGTGACATACTTACATAAGTAGTCCGAGTCTGATGGCAGTGAATATTTGGTCCCATAAACGACACGGATAACCTCGGAAAACGCGTACTCACTTTGCCAGGTATGTCTACGTCCAGACAGACATCCAGGCGAACTACTTACACATATTCAACAACCGAGCTCTCGGCACGGTCGTGGACGTAATATCCGTGCAGGCTACGAAAGAGTTCGCCTCCATGGTTGGTTCGTACCACGGGGTCCAGCTCCATAATCCGTCTCTATCGGCCTCCTTGATACATATCATGCACATGACTCACTGGGCAGTGTCTCGCTGATAGAAAAAGGCTTTATCATGGCCCATCAGACAGCAGATTCGTAGTCTCGCTCAAGACCCTCCATTCACGTGCGGGGTTTGTGTCGAACCTAAGCAGATTCGTTCCATAAGCCCGTCGCAGCAGGGTCTAACCTTCGCAAAGCTCATGGAACAGGTACGACGGGCCAGAGGAGCAGGCCTTCGCTATGAGTCATCATGCTATTCGGGTTTGAATTGACGGAGATGAAGGCGCAGTTCTGGTGGTGGGAACGCGTGAGTGGACTGTAAGTATTGGACGGTGACTGGCGTTGAACGTTAACCTTGTGTGCCGGCGTCACTTGGAACTAACAGGGCGTTCAAAAGGTGTAGTCTATGGTCGTTCCTACGCATACAGCCTCGTTGAATTCATTGATCTCTTAGGGCAGCTGCGACCGTTGTATATGATAACGGATCTCGAGCCGGAGCAATAGAAAATGACGGCATTATATGCTTTCTGCTTCAATTCAATGCATACAACGGTCTTGTGTACACCAAATCCACTGCACTCGGCCTCTGAGTAAACCGTGATCAGGCAACCTGGCTTTGTCTCCGCGCATCGAGGTCAGAACATGGACTCAATCCGAATTCTTCTGTTCTGGAGTCAACGGCTGTTCACATCATCCGCATCCAGTTAGTCGATGAGTTCCGGGCCTCGTATAGTAACGATCATTACACCGGAACTTCCAATGTTGTCGTGGACAATGCTACAGGCAGGTTGCCTATACTGTCACAAGGTTCGTATACTCGTCTCACCGCAAAAAACAGTAGCTGATCAGATACAATTGTCAAATCTCGAGAGCGTTTCGTTAACCTGACATTCTCTCGTCGTCCCCGTCCGCCAAACACAGATCCTCTACTAGGGTTTGGAGGCCTACGCCCGGCTTGACAAGCGTGGCCGATCGCAATCTCCCCTCGACCTTCTCAACCCGCCGAAGCCCCAAGCCCGTGCAACACGAGACAGATGATCCAGTGCGTTTCCCTTTGCCTCTCGGACAAAATACATCGTCCATCTCCTCCGCTACGAATGCGACTCCTGGTCGCGGAAGCTGGATCTCGTATTCACTGCTTTTCATAGCCTCGCCAATGAGGTGGCGGATCTTCAATGCTTTGCTGACCAGGGCTTGTATTGAGTGCTGCGGGTCGCTCTCTGCAGAGGGACGCATGCCCGACGATAGCAGGACGTGCCATAGCAACTTGGTGAGCTCCCCGCTGCAGCTGTCGTCCAGCTGCTCCGCGTCGATGTGCTTGGCTTGTGCGAACTTTCGCGTCAAAGCACGCCATTGGCCCGCTACGCTTTGATTCTCTGCACAAACCTAATGATTTAATGGCGATCGCGCCGGTTGAGAAGTGCTTACCCGAATTCCTGATTCTCTCATAGACGGATGTCAAGGTGTTGTCGCTCTCAGAGTCGTTCGTCCATGTGGAGATGATCCGGGCGAGGAAGTTCGTAGCAGCAACCTGCGTGGCGATCTCTAATAGGATCGTGTCTCCCCGTGTATCTGTGGATTCGAGCACGTCGAGGAAAGGACGACCCAATACACATATCACATCGTCTTCTGCGCTGAGCTTCGTATCCCGGCCTTGGTCGGGTGAGGCTTGATCAGCTATTAAATGTGCCAAATTGAAGATCTCCGTGTTCAGGCCGCGGACCTCCTGCACAACCTCGCTCTCCGCGAAGGTGTCTACCGTACCCATGAACCGCTGGGCGTCCTGCAATTCTTGTCGGCGAGTCTCGAGTAGCGCCTTGAGCTGGGTGATCTCCCTGACCAGTGCCTCTTCGTGTGTCCTAGCATTGTCGAGCTGGGTCGGCGGCAGCGTCAATCAGATGTTTCACACGCAGTTTCCTGCAAACCCGGGATGGACTCGCCTCTCTTTGACTGAGCTTCGCTTCCGTGCGCAACGTATTTCTCTCCGATTTGTACCGCATAGCTTGGCGGTGCCGATGTTCAGCTTCTTGCGTCTTCTCGTCGCGGCCGCGTCTGAGCCTAGCAATATCTCTCTCCATTCGTTGGATCGTGGATGAGTGTCGTCCCTAGCGCGGTGTTAGCATGCACTAAGAGCGCGATTACTGGGGCATCACTCGCCTCGTTCAGATTCGGGTTTGCGCTATCTGTTGCTGGCGGTCGGGCCATCTGTGACGCTTCCTCTCCTCTTCCACGATGTCTCGATGATTCCGTGCTGATGTAGTGCGATGGCGGTGCGCTATGAGTCTGCCGTCGTCCTTGTTGAACATCACTGGGATATGGCTCTGGAATGCCCACAGACTGGTATTCCCTAGCAACAGTCGAATGAGGTGTGGATGGCTCACCGCTGTCGGTGAGGCTCTTCGTCAAGTTCGATGTGAAGTCTTTCACTCTCTGCATGATGAGCGTGCTTGACGGTGAGAGTACTAGCTCCTGGCGTGACTTATAGTGATATAACCAGATATGACACGATCTGCGGATGGAAGCATCAACATGCGGTCAGCACGATGTTCAACTTATGGCTAGAACCCAGCTACTATCTGTCATGCTTCTCTTCTGTCCCCGGCCTCTGTGGGAGTGTCCGTGCATGCTCCGACCTCGAGTTACGAACACATGCCCAGGAGATGTGGTATTTATAATGCACCGTAGAGTACCGTAGGTGGACAACCATCTGTCCCAGTCACCTAGTCAGCATGCTTCAACTGGATCCTTACAAAGGCAGCAGCCGCAAACTCGTCATTGCCATCGACATTGGTACCACGTACAGTGGTGCCGCCTATTGCGTCTTGGATCCCGGCGAGATACCACAGGTACTGAGTGTTACGCGGTGCGTGTGCCGCGCAGTTGTCCATTCATACGCCAAGTTGACTAAACCTTGCTCAGCTTTCCGGGACAAGAGGGCGAAAATAAATCACGGGATGTGAAGATACCTTCCGTACTTTATTACGATCAGCAAGGCCGGCCCCGCGCCGTCGGAGCCGAAGCGACACTACAAGACACCGAGGACGAGGCATACACACAGGAGTGGGATCGCGTCAGATGGTATATCTATATTGATCCTGCGCATAGCCGTCATGGTTACTTAGGCCTGAGTGTTCTAGGTTCAAACTCCATCTTCGTCCTCCATCGATCCTTCCCGGCGCAACTCTACCTCCAATTGGGGTGAACAAATCCATCGTCGAGATCTTGGCAGATTATCTTGCCTATGTCTTCAGATGCGTCAAAGACTTCATCTCTGAGACCAACCCGACTGGTAGACAGATTTTGGACACCGACACCCCGATTGATTTTGTTCTCAGTCACCCAAATGGATGGTCGGGCCCTCAACAAAGCAACATGAGGCGTGCGGCTATCCTGGCCAAGCTAGTGCCTGACGATGATGAAGGCACTGCAAGGCTTCAGTTCGTCACCGAAGGAGAGGCGAGCCTTCAGTTCTGTATCGCGACTGGTCTGGGGAACGACGTCATGCAGGTGAGCTCTACTCTTTGTAGCGACTCTGTATCAGCATCCTGAAACTCCATACGTCGTAGAAAGATCGTTATGTAACGATAGTCGATTGCGGCGGAGGTACTATAGACCTGAGTACATATCGTGTACTGGACAGCCAGCCCATTGCCGTGGAAGAGAGCGTCATTCCCAAGTGTGAGTACCTCAGATTATTGTATAGCATTTGTATCTTGATGTCAACTCATGGCGACACGGTATAAGGCCTCATTCAGGGCTCGACGATGGTTGATCATCGGGCTGAAGAGCTGCTGAAGAGTTGGTCAAACCATACCATCGTCGGCCTGTTTCATGTGCTCATATTGATTACGTGCGATCACACTCGTCACTAGGCAAGCTCAGACTGTCCCGCTTCTCGACCCCCGGAGATCTACAAGTGATGATGTCATACTTCGAAACCACGACAAAGCCAACCTTCAAAAACATTTCTAGCACATCTTACGTCAGATTCGGAGGGCAAAGCGACACTGATGAGAGGGTCAACATACGACGCGGCGTTCTGTCTCTTTCAGGGTATGTACATTTGTGTTGATCTGTGTCTGCGGGCCAGTTGTGATGCATTTATATCTCATTTCTCAGGCTCGAAATGGCATCGCTCTTCAGACCGTCCATTGATGCCATCAAGTCAGCAATTGATAGTCAACTGTCCGGAATAAATGCCCATCTTACTGTTGGCTGTCTTTCCTTACAACCGTCGTCGGCTGTGCCTTGACTTATCTCCTTATAGACGATATTGCTTGTCGGCGGTTTTGCAACCAGCCCTTTCTTGCGCACTGAATTGCAGGAACACTTGAACAAGAAGGGTTTGCGAATGTTCACCCCGGAAGGCCAAACGTAGGCCTTCTTTGCTCATCCTTGCCAGAACTTTCACTCATACGCTTAAAAGTTCGAAGGCCGTAGTAGAAGGCGCACTATGGTTCTATCTCGACAATCGCGTTCGCGCAAGAGTTGTTAGGCACACGTATGGATCAGAATGTGCAACACGTTATGATCCTTCGTTGCCGGGACACTTCATACGCAAACACCGAACCTACACAGGCGTTGACGGTGATTCCCGTCTCCCGTGTTGCTTCGCCATCCTGACGCAGAAGGTGAGAGTGGCACACACAGCTGACATTCAAGCTGGGCGCCTTGACAGACGCACTTCTTCAGGGAACCTCTGTCACCGAAGAGACGGGATTCGGCATTTCCTGTATCACACGCAGGCTCTTCGGCAACTTGAACACTACCGTCTCGGTCGATGTGATCGCCTACAGAGGCAATAAGACTAATCCTGAGTGGACGGATGAGGAACCAGGTGTGCTCATGTACTCCTGTTTCTTATTCCCGATCTTCTCTGATCATGAAACGAATATCTGATCACCAGAGATGTTCCACACGCTATGCACAATCAAAGCTGCCCCTGCACTAAGCTCATGGGAGAAGCATAGTGGCCCTAACGGACCATACTGGTCGAAACGTATTGATGTGATCCTGCTCCTCGGTCTGACAGAGATGAAGGCACACCTTTCGTGGCTGGAGAATGTATGTGCCAAGACTTTGCTCACTCATTCGCCGCACGTATGCTTAGCTATCATTTACCAACCAGGGCGTGAGGCGAATGTGAGTCTTCCAAGCCGCAATGGTTCTATTTGTGTGCTGGAACAATACTATGTCCCAGCTCCCCTGCGAGTATTATCTACGGCGAAGAACAGTAGACGGCACATTGCTTGACTATGCTGGCAGTGGTCACATCGGCGACGGATATATCGGCGCAACTGATCAGCAATTCGTAGGCGACGCCGTCTCAGTCCTCTTCTAATTTCTTATCGGCTGTCTTGGACTCAGGATGTATCCGTGAGGTTGGAGGTTGCCCCAACGATGTACTATACCACTGCGTTAACCATTACGAGTACACACTCAAGGACTGCGTATTCACCTCACTCAATTGTGTCTCTCATCAAAGTCAAGCTTCAAGCGCATCAATTCAATGCTGATACTTACAGTACCGTGGCACTGCGTATTTTGAAGTTTTTTTATCCTTGTCATATTCAGTACGTATGACTTGGCTATGATGTTCAGTGGTACATAAGGCTGACCATGCACTGCTGATCAGGTCGACGTCTGTGCAGTCCGTAACATTCCGACTGGACAGTACACTGAGGAGATGATTGTTTCTCCGCCACTGAACCAAATCGGTTCTCCGACCCACTGGCAGCTTGTGCGGTTGCGAGCCGCGAGCGCGACTCAAGTCGGCCACACACTGCAACCAGACCACAACAAAGCATGAGCACCGAGGCACCGTGACGGGAACCGTTGATATCCCTGTTACCCTCACTGTCGTATGGTACGATTTTGTCTGATATTCTATCGACACTGGCATGGCCATCGCTGAGTCAAGTTCCAAACGCATGGAAGGCTACCGTGCGTACGTATTTAATGCCCACTGTTCCATCGCTTGGACGCTCAACTTATCCCGCCCTTGGCTCGCAGGTTTAGCTCCGACGTTCTACTGTGCTCGGTTGAATCCGTCCCCGGTGCCACCCCATCCTGCCATCGTCCGTATCACTTTCGTGCCACCCTGCCTTTCGACCCCCTCGCGTCTGCCCGTCGTCCCCGCCACTCTCGCGTAGGCGTCATCCGGCGCGCGTACGAGAACGTGCAGGGGGTGTGGCACTGGCAGGTGTTGGGGCTTGACTCAGTGCCAGGACGAGCGGCGAATGTGGGTAGGTTGGATGTCGTGACCTTCAAGTTCGCATGTGCCCGTGCTGTAATTAGCGTAGTCTGCTGAATTTATCTCGTCCTCGTTCTCACCCACATTGCCCTATCCCGTCATTCACTTAGTATGTCATCCGCTTGCCTTCCCAGCTCCTGCCTGTCGTTCCCGTCACCCTGATGCTACCGTATACGTATCATGTGTGGCCTCTACCCTGCCCGCCGCTCCTCATCGCACACTGACACGCCTAGTACGTCTTCGACACAGTTGCTGCTGCTGTGCTGTGCTGCCCCCGTCACCCCGCACCGTGCTGCCACTTCGAGTCGTTCCTGCCACTCTCGCGCCCGGAGCGCTGCTCATAGGGCCGGTTCCGCACCGCTGTTGCCAACAGCATGCTACGAAAGTGTTGTTGTGGCGAGCCGTGGCCCGTTGTATACACTACTTATGTAGTATTTGCAGCGAGCTCGATGTATACTAGTCTCGCAATGTAATACACTCGCGTTCGAATACTTGAATAGATTTTTTTCTCCCGCATTAATGTTACTGCTCGAGCCGACGTCCACGATCGGCGCCACTGTGACTTTGATCGATGTGGCGCGTCGCTGACTAAGCAGTTGAACTATACATGATCTGCGTCCGAGTCTCGCTCTTACCAATCCCCTCCTCCTCCTCCTTAGACCCTCCCCATACTTGGACGCTGTGACTCGGACGGGTGACGCCGGTCTGCGCTGCCTTCGGTATGCTACGTCGTCATTGCACCGTATGCACATGCGCGAAAGGAACATCTACTACGTATTTGAATTCACACCTACATCCAGCGATAGTGGTATCCGCGGTTCGTCACCAGTCAAAAGCAACGTCAACCTCCGTAGAGCGCATGGAACAAGCACCGTGACGACGGCCCGAAGGGGCCTTAGTAGTACTGGGAGCAAAACTACTATGTTACCATGCTTTTCTGGTTAGCGGAGATGTCAATGAAGGCGCAGCCTGAGATCGGTTGGTGGGAGAACGTGAGTGGATCATATATGCATAAATATTGGGCGGTGACTAGCATCGTTAATCTCATGTGTGCCTCTTGGAACCGGCGGCAAGGTGTTCCAGAAGAGGTGAGGCTTACGCCGGTTTCTGCACACAGCCTCATTGAACTCTTAGAATGGCTGCGAATGCATTGTGCTGTCGTCAAATATTGACGGTGCTGTGCTCAACTGACATATTCTCATCGTCCCTTCCACTATAGTGCTCCCCTCGACCTTTTCAATCCGCCGAAGCCCTAAGGACGTGCAACATAAAACATATGATCTCGTGTGTCGCTCCTTTGCTCTGTTGCCATAAATGTCCTCCATTTCTTCCACGACGAATGCCGGTCGCGGGAGTAGGGTCTCGCTTTTTGCCGGCTTTTTAGGTCTGCTACGGAGACTACGCTTTTCATAGCCTCGGCAATGAGGTGACGGATCTTGAAGGCTTTGCTGACCAGGCCGTGTATGGGCCGCCGCGGGTTGCTCTCTGCAGAGGGACGCATACCGGACGATAGTACATACGACGTTCCGTCATAATTTGATGCGCTCTCTGTTGCAGCTGTCGTCCAGCTGCTGCGCGTCGACATGCTTGGCTTGTGCGAACTTTCGCGTCAAAGCACGCCATTGGCCCGCTACGCTTTGATTCTCTGCACAAATCCAATGATTCATTGGCGATCACACTGGTTGATAAATGCTTACCCGATTTCCTGATTCTCTCATAGACGGATGTCAAGGTGTTGTCGCTCTCAGAGTCGTTCGTCCATGTGGAGATGATCTGGGCGAGGAAGTTCGTAGCAGCAACCTGCGTGGCGATCTCTAATAGGATCGTCTCTCCCCGTGTATCTGTGGATTTGAGCACGGCGAGGAAATGACGACCCAATGCACGTATCACTTCGTCTCCTGCGCCGAGTGTCGTATCCTGATCTTGGTCGGGCGAGGCTTGATCAGCTATCGAACGTGCGAAGTTGAAGATCTCCGCGTGCTGCGGACCTCCTGAACCACCTCGCTCTCCGCGAAGGCGTTCACTGTACCCATGAACCGCTGGGCGTCCTGCAGCTTCTGTCGCCGAGTCTCGAGTAGCGGCTTCAGCTGGGCGTTCTCTACGACTAGGATCTCTTCGTGCTTCCTAGCATTGTCGAGCTGCTGAACGCCAGCGTCACTCAGATGTTCCACTCTTCCCGAAGGATGGCCTCACCTCTCTTTGACCTCGCTCGGCTTCTGTGCGCCACCCATTTCTCTCCGATCTGTACTGCGTAGCTCGGTGGTGCCAATAATCGACATCTCGTGTCATCTCATCGCGGCCTCGTTTGAGCCCAGTGACCTCTCTCCATTTGTTAGGGTGTGGATGAGTGTCGTCCCTAGCGTATCGTTGGCATGCACCGAGAGCGCGATTGTCATTAGGGCATCACTAGCGTCGTTCAGACTCGGGGTCGCGTCGCATATGACTGGCGGTTAGGCCCTCTGTGACGACTCCTATCCTCTTCCGTGCCGCCTCGATGGTTCCGTGTTGATGTAGTGCGAAGGCGGCTCGCTCCGTGTCTGCCGTAGTCCTTGTAGGACATCAGGAGACGACCTTGGATTGCCCACGGACAGGTCTTCACCAGCAACAGTCGAATGAAGTGTGGATGTCTCACCACTGTCAGTGAGGCTCTTCTTGGTAAAGCTCGATGCGAGCCTTTTCACGCCCTGCACGATCATCGTGCTTAGCAGTGAGGATACTACTAGCTCTTGGCGTGGCTCATACCAGTAGATTCAACATGATCTTCGGATGGAAGCATCGACATGCGGTCAGCACGATCTTTTGAGTTATGGCCAGAGCCCGACTATGTCTTATGCACATGCTTCTCTTCTATCTACGGACCTTTCACTCTGTGGGAGTGTCCGTGCACGCTTCGACCTCGTGTTGTAAACACGCGCCCGGCGGATGTTGTGTTTATAGTCTACTAGGAGTGCCGTAGGCGGACCACCCATTGTCCCAATCACCTAGTCAACATGCTTCAACCGGATCCCTACAAGGGCAACAGTCGCAAACTCGTCGTTGCCATCGACATTGGAACCACGTACAGTGGCGCAGCCTATTGCATTCTGGATCCTGGTGAAATACCACAAGTATTGAGTGTTACGCGGTGGGTGTACAGCTGTCCTCTCTCATACACCAAGCTGACTGCGCTATACTCAGTTTTCCGGGACAAGAGGGTGAAAACAAATCAAGAGATGTAAAGATACCTTCCGTCCTTTATTATGACCAGCAAGGCCGGCTCCGTGCTGTCGGGGCAGAAGCAACACTACAAGACACCGAGGACGAGGCACACACAGAGGAATGGGATCGCGTCAAATGGTATATTCTCCGTTGATATTGTGCATGAAGTCGCACTTATCAACTGCCCTAGGTTCAAACTCCATCTTCGTCCTCCATCGATTCTTCCGGGTGCAGTACTACCTCCTATTGGCGTGAACAAATCCGCTGTCGAGATTTTGGCAGATTACCTTGCCTATGTCTTCAAATGCACTAAAGACTTTATCTCCGAGACCAATCCGACTGGTAGACAGATTTTGGAATCCGGGACACCTATTGATTTTGTTCTTAGTCACCCCAATGGGTGGTCGGGCCCTCAACAAAGCAGCATGAGGCGTGCGGCTATCCTGGCCAAGCTTGTACCTGACGATACTGAAGGCGCTGCAAGGCTCCAGTTTGTCACCGAAGGGGAGGCAAGCCTCCAGTTCTGTATTGCCACTGGTCTAGGGGACGATGTCATGCAGGTGAGCCCCCCCCATCTTCAGTGCTTCTGTATCCACGTCCTGAAAGAATGTATTATAGAAAGATCACTACGTGACAATAGTAGATTGTGGCGGAGGTACTATAGATCTGAGTACATATCGTGTTCTGAACAGCCGGCCCGTCGCCGTGGTCGAGAGTGTTGTTCCCACGTGTGAGTGTCCCAGCTTATTGCATCGCATTTGATGCCGACTCACCGTGATGCGACACATATAAGGCCTCATTCAGGGCTCGACAATGATTGATCGTCGAGCTGAAGAGCTGCTGAGAAGTACGTCAAACCATATCTTCCTCGCGGCCTGTTTTATATGTGCTCATTTGCGGGGACATGCAATTGCATCCGGTAGGCAAGCTCAGACCATCTCGCTTCTCGTCCTCCGGCGATCTAAAAGTGATGTTAACAAACTTCGAAAGCACGACAAAGCCGACCTTCAGAAACCTTGCCGACACATCTTACATTAGATTCGGAGGGCAGAGAGACACTGATGAGAGTGTTAACATACGACGCGGAGTTCTATCTCTTTCAGGGTAAGTGGGTCATGTAAAATTGCGTCAGCGAGATGGAGGTACTCACGTCTCATTCCTCAGGATAGAAATGGCATCGCTCTTCATGCCGTCCATTGACGCTATTAAGTCAGCTGTTGATGCTCAACAGTCCGGGGTAGATCCTCGCTTCACCGTTAGTGCTCTTGCCTACGACCGCAGTCAGCTCAGGCTCTGGCTTGACTTCATTCCATATAGACGATATTGCTCGTCGGCGGGTTTGCCACCAGTCCTTTCTTGCGCTCTGCATTACAGGGACACATGGACAGGAAGGGATTGCGGATGTTCACCCCGGAAGGTCAAACGTGGGCCTTCTTGTTCATCACTGCAGGATATGACATTCATACATTTAGCAGTTCCAAGGCCGTGGCCGAAGGCGCACTATGGTTTTACCTCGACCATTGTGTCCGCGCGAGAGTTGCCAGGCACACGTATGGTACAGATTGTACGGTACTGTATGATCCTCTGTTACCGGAGCACCTTCAACGCCTACACCTGACACATATGGGCGTTCGTGGCGGACTTTTCGTTCCATCTGCCTTCGCCATTTTGACGCGGAAGGTGAGCGCAGCATACATCGTCGAGAATCAAGCTAGATACCTTGACGAATACACATCTTTGCTAGGGAACAGCGGTCACAGAAGAAACGGAATTCAGTTTCCCCTTTATACAAGATCGGCGCAAAGTCTCCCGTCGTGACACTAGTATTACGGCCGACGTGGTGGCCTACAGAGGCAATCAGACCAATCCTGAATGGATGGATGAGGAACCAGGTGTGCACATGTGCTCTATAGGTTTCTCAGCCCCGATCTCCTTTAAAATGAATACCTGATCACTAGAGATGTTCTATACACTGTGCACGATCACGGCTGTCCCTGCTTTCAATTCATGGAAGAGGCGTAGTGGCGCCAAAGGACAATACTGGTCGACAGAATTCGAAGTGATCCTGCTGCTCGGTTTGACAGAGATGAAGGCGCAGATCGCGTGGGTGGAGAACGTATGTATCAAGGCTTCGTCTCGTTCGCAGCATACATGCTTAGTTATTATAAACCGAACAGGGCGTGAAGCGAAGGTAAGCCTTCCGAGTCGCAGCGAATCACTTTGTACTGACGCAAAACAATTCACATAGGTCCCCTGCGAATATTGTTTACGACGAAGAACAGTCCTGAAGTCCGTACCTATCTCCACCATCTACTCACATTGACCGAGTCAACGATGAAGTGCTGATGAAATACGGTCTCTTTCCAGCCCATCGCACGCGTGGAAGGAGTTCTGAATACGGTGTCGCAACAACTATACCGGATCCAATGCTATCGTCAACGTGTTGCGTACGGCGCTTCAAAGTTCGTAGATACGTCTCACTGCGAAGACTATCTATCACTGCAATCGACCAGATACATTGTGCATTTGTCGTAATGCGAGGGCGCTTTCTAGCCTGACATCTTCTCATCGCCACCGTCCGCCAAACCCAAATCTTCCACCAGAGTTTGGAGGCCTACGTCCGGCTTGACAAGCGTGGCCGAACGCAAGCCCCCCTCAACCTTCTCGACCCGCCGAAGCCCTAAGGACGCGCAATACAAGACAGATAACCCCGTGCGTTTTCCTTTACCTCTCGGACGATATACGTCCTCCATCTCTTCCGCTACGAATGCAGCTCCTGGTTGCGGAAGCAGGATCTCGTACTCGCTGCTTTTCATGGCCTCGCCAATGAGGTGGCGGATCTTGAAGGCTTTGCTGACCAGGATTTGCATGGGTTGTCGAGGGTCCCCTTCCGAAGAGAGACGCATGCGCGACACTGCCGCAACGTGTCGTAGCAACGTGACCAGCTTCTGTCTGCAGCTGTCTTCCTGCTGCCGTGCGCTGACTTGCTCGGCCTGTGCGAACTTTCGGGTCAAAGCACGCCATTGGCCTGCAACGCTCTGGTTTTCTATTGACCTTCAGTATACGATGGTAGCTGCACCGAAGTCGAGAAGCGCTTACCGGATTTTCGGATCCTCTCGTATATGACTCCCAATACATTGTCGCTTTCGGCCTCGGTCGTCCACGTGGAGATGATCCACGCAAGGAACCTTGTGGCGGCAGCTTGGATGGCAATCTCCAGAAGGATGGTGTCTCCCCGTGGATCTGTGGATTCGAGCACAGAAGCAAAAGGATGCCCCAAGGCGTGCATGGCTTCATCTGCGCTGCCCTTCAAACCCTGGTGGTGGTCAGGCGAGGCTCCATCAGCCATCGAACGTGCCAAGTTGAAGATTTCTGTGTTCAGGCCGCGGACCTCCTGAACAACGTCGTTCTCCGCAAATGTGTCTACCGTACCCATGAAGTGCTGGGCGTCCTGCAGCTCTTGTCGGCGAGTCTCGAGTAGCGCCTTCAGCTGGGTGTTCTCCTTGACCACAGTCTCCGCGTACTTGTTCGCTTTGCTGACCTGGGCCAACGGCAGCGTCACTCAGATGTTCCAACTGTTTTGCAAGGACGAACTCGCCTCCCTTTGAGCGAACTCTACTTCTGTGCGACACGTGTTTCTCTCCGATTGGTAGCGCATAGCTTCGTGGTGCCAATGGCTGGCATGTCGCGTCATCTCGTCGAGGTCTCGTCTGAGCCGAGCAAGGTCTCTATCCATCTGTTGACCCGTGGAGGAGCGCCGGTCCTAAGTGTGCCGTCAGCATGTACCAAGAGTGCATTTACTAGGACGTCACTAGCCTCTTTCAGCCTCAGTGGGCTCGCGCCGCCTGCCGCTGGCGGGCGGGCTGTCGCCGTCCTCTGTGGCGAAAGTTCCCCTCCTTTTGCATCGTGACCCGATGACTGTCTGTCGGTGCGGGGCGAACGCGATTCGCCCAGGGTTCGTCCTTGTAGATCGTCAGGAGATGGTCCTGGACCGGCGGGCACAGATTGGTCTTCACTGCTAGCAGTCGACTCCGAGTCGGGGGCGGATGTGTCGCCACTGTCAGTAAGCCCGATCTTGTTGGTGAAGTGCGACGCGATGCTTCTGAAACCCTCCATGATGAGCGTACGGTGCTGAATTAGTGACTCTCGGCGAGATTTATACAGTCAAAACGAGGAATACGTAAATGCATGGACGCGGCGACATGCGGCCAACACAAGAGGCGGCAGGAATTAAATTTCCGTACACAAGGCCGGTTTTTTCCGAAACTTCAATATCTGGACACCCCCACCCTACCACCCCCCTGTATATTATTATTTTTCGGCGGTCCTGCCTCCAGACCACCCCCCCACCCTCGTTCAATCAGTGAAAAAAGTGCCTTTATATTGCTGAAAAATCTACAAGCCACGTAGAGTATGTGAACACTGCTCTATGACATCTGCACCTTCTTCGACGCCGTGTGAGTGGCTTAGTGAGAGCGCAGGCGGAGACGTGCACACGCAGATATGCAGGTACACATATGACCGAGTTGGCAGACAATGAAGCAGAGTGGTGATCAGGCAGGCGGGTAGTCGGCAGGCGGGTGGCATTGTAGGTGCCAGACGGGCGAGCATGCAGGCGAACGAGCCGGGAGATTCATTTGCAGCTAGATGGGCGAGTGTGCGGGCAGAAAAGCGGGCGTGCGCGCGAGTAAGCGAGTGCACAAACGCACGGTCAACTATTCGTACGGGTGTGTGCCTCCAAGCTGTTCAGCACAAGGATACGTAAGCAAGGGTATGGGCGAGCGGGCGAACGTGCAGGAGAGCATGTGGATTGGCGGGCAGGCATTTGAGCGGGTGAGTGGACGCGCACGAGGGCAGACAGACGAAATTTCGGGTTGACGGTCACTAGCTACCAGTTGTGCCAGATGGCAGACACATACCGAGGCAAATGAGAATCCGGAAGAGGGCATGCCGAGTAGGTGCAGACGAGAAAGTATGGGTGAGAAGGACCAGAGGCTGGGGGATAGATAGAGGACAAACCGAATAGCGAGCTCAAATGTGCCGTTCCGGTTATGCCGCTACACACCAAACTCGCTTGATGAACTATCCAGACTGTAAAGTGCACTAGGTCGCAGACGGACGGCGAGGGACAGACCTTTGAATCGCTACTTGCCGCACACACAACACTTACTGAAAATACGTGCGTCGCCTTCTTGAGCATGCCGCGCCCGATAAACGAGCTCGAAAACCTCACGCATCCTTGTTTGCGTGCTCGTGTTTGGAGTTGTCGCACAACGGTACGTCGAGAACACTGTTACAGTGTTAGCACGCGCAAGGGCCCGGGGTGAACGTTCGAGTCTTTAGCTGAGGATGTCTTCCCGTGAAAGGAAACGGTAGATAGCGGTAAAAGTCGCTTGCGTCCAGCTGAGGAGGAGCAGTGGAAAAGACGGCGACCTAGTAGTAGTACGCGACGAGAGCGCACTGTTGCTTCCACCGCAGACGCACCCGCCACAAGCTCAGCCACACACTTGAGGTTCCGCCTGCGATCCACTACGCACATTTAGACTGCGATTGAAAATACCGACCTCGAAAAGTAGACTAGCCAATGGGCCACGTGCAAAAAGGGTTGTCTGCGTGTGACAGGAAGCTAATTTACAACTAATCCGACACTATCGACGGTCTACTTCGACCGAGTTGGGGAGGGTATGACGGTTTTTTCGACCTTCTGGTATAAAATTTCGGAATCGCCCATCCAAGGGTCGACCACCCTCCCCACCCCGGGGGCCTTGTGTACCCGATCTGCCGATCCGCCGCCTCTTGGGCCAACACGGTGTTATTTTACGGCCAAGTCAGAGGCAGTGGCAGCACTTCCCCGCCGACTGTGGGAACGCTCTGTCGTGTCGCGGGCACGTGTCGAGGAGACAGTCGTGTTTATAACCGGTCACTTCACAGAACCTCAGGTGGGTCATCCTATTCGCCTCAGGCTTGTCGTGACTATGCTTCAACTAGATCCCTACACGGGCAACAGCCGCAAGTTGGTCATTTCCATCGACATCGGCACGACGTACAGTGGTGTCGCCTACTGCGTCTTGGACCCTGGTGAGGTGCCAAAAGTCTTGAGTGTTACACGGTGCGTGTGTGGCTGTTCGTGTACATCGTCAAACTGACCCCGTTATTCTCAGTTTTCCCGGACAAGAGGGGGAAAACAAATCGAGGGATGTAAAGATACCTTCCGTCCTCTACTACGACCAGCAGGACCAGCTTCGCGCTGTAGGAGCAGAGGCAACCTTGCAAAGTACCAAGGAGGAGGCGTATACGCAAGAGTGGAACTACGTCAAATGGTGCGTGTTCACCGAGATCGTGTACAGCTTTCGTAGTCATCGATCAGTCTAGGTTCAAGCTCCATTTTCGGCCTGCGTCGATTCTCCCCGGCGCAATATTACCTCCGATTGACGTTGATAAACCTGTCCTTGAAATCTTAGCGGACTATCTGGCCTACGTTTCCCAATGCGCGAAGGATTTCATCTCACAAAGCAACCCCATTGGTCGACAGATTTTGAACTCCAACACCCCCATCGACTTCGTGCTTACTCATCCCAATGGGTGGACGGGTCCACAACAAAACAATATGAGGCGTGCCGCTGTTCTGGCCAATCTGGTACCCGATACCAGCGAAGGCGCTGCAAGGGTCCAGTTCGTCACGGAAGGAGAGGCAAGCCTCCAGTTTTGCATCGCGACCGGTCTAGGGGACGACGTCATCCGGGTAAGCTCGCCTCCGAGTCATCACAGGTACCTCAAACCTGCGAACCTGACAAACCGATCAATACGTCGTAGAGAGATAGCTATGTGACGATAGTCGATTGCGGCGGTGGTACCATAGATCTAAGCACCTACCGTGTTGTCGACAACCGACCCATTGCCGTGGAGGAGAGTGCTGTTCCCGAGTGTGCGTCTCCTTTAATATGTTTGATTCACTCGCTCATTATATTGTGAAACCTGGTAGGTCTGATACAGGGCTCAACCATGGTCAATCGTCGAGCTGAAGAGCTGCTGAGAGGTAAATCCAATGATACCTCCGTCGGTGCCCTATACCGCGACTCATGTTTTAATTCGTGCTCCGGTATTCATTAGAGAAGCTCAGACTATCCCGCTTCTCGACCAATGATGATTTCGACGCAATGATGGCAAACTTCGACACTATGACCAAGCCGACGTTTCGCGACCCTTCCACGACATCCTACGTCAAATTTGGAGGCCCGCGCGACACAGATGAGAGCTTCAATATTCGACGCGGTATTCTTTCGTTGTCTGGGTGAGTTGTAGTAATCGTTGGAGAGGACGAATGTCAGTGGCTCACTCCCTGCTTGTAAGCTCGGACATGGCGTCTCTCTTCCAGCCGTCAGTCAGTGCTATCAAGGCCGCTATCGACGCGCAACTGTCGGGAGTTGATCTAAGCCTCGCTGTCGGTCCTTTCGATTTGCTCGTGAATGAGTCATGATTGACTTTCTGTGCTAGACGTTGCTCCTCGTGGGAGGTTTCGCTACAAGCCCATTTCTACGCGCGGAGCTGCAGGCGCACGCGGATGGGAAGGGTTTGCGGATGTATTCACCAGAAGGTCAAACGTAAGCTCACTACTTCGGCCATTACGAGATGCTCGCTCATGGAAGAATACGACCACAAACACAGCTCGAAGGCGGTGGCCGAGGGTGCGCTTTGGTTTTACCTCGATAATCGTGTTCGCGCCAGAACGGCAAGGTCTACATACGGTTCTTCGTGCTCGCAGTGGTATCAGCCATCAAATCCAGAGCATATTAAACGCAAACATAAACTCCCCACCATCGCAAATGGGTCCTTGGTTTTGTCATCGGGCTTCGCCTTGCTAGTACGGCAGGTGAGATCCAAGGCTATCCACACTCCAAACAGGCATGCATCAACGGTTCTGTTCCTTTCAGGGGACATCAGTCACGGAAACGACAGAGTTTAGCTTCCAGTTCGCATCTTACTGCAAGGAATCCGACGAACTCTCCCTCTCTGCTAATGTGTTATCTTATCGGGGAATCAAGGCGAATCCTACGTGGGAGGACGAGGAACCTGGTGAGACCGGTTACTCGCTCGTCTTGTGCTCTAACATAGTCGTCCCGGGGGCAGACATGTTCACTGTACTGTGCCGAATCAAAGCTACACCCGCTGCGAGCTCGTGGATGCGGGGCAATGGCCCAGTTGGGCCATATAGGTGGCAGAACTTCGATGTCATTTTGCTTTTAGGCTTGACTGAGATGCGAGCCCAAATCGGTTGGTGGGAGAATGTACGTCTTGAATCTTTCGCCGACAATTGTGGGTCAATGCTGATCCCATGTGCCTACAGGGTGTGCAGCTGAGGTTAGTGGATGTCTTGAACATAATTCACGAGATTGTGGCTGACATAAAGCCCAGGAGTCCCGCCACTGTCGTCTACGACCTTTGATCAGTAGAGGGTGCCAGGAAGGTTCGGCGGATGTGTTGTCCTGTTGCAAGCAAACTGATAATAGTGTCTATACTTACGTGCTTGCGAAAGCTGTTGACGAGATACATTCTTCGCGGTACTATCCACGCTACGTCGACATCTAGCATACTACTCGGACTCGGATGATGCAGGCTGATGCAGGCCAACGTGCCTTTCGTTGTTGCGCCAAGCAATCCGAATTGAATTTCTCACCACTGTTTTCATTGCAATAGTCCACACATCCGAGTGCGGTCCGCTGCCCCCAATGTATTGTCACAGCAAATCTGGGAGCTGTTGCGATTCTCAGCTGCGGCGCACACGTTAACGTTCAGCATTGGTTCAGTAGTCGAACGTCCGCAGTTGCCTTCTATGGGTGGGCACGAGGTGTCCAGTATCAGTCGCCACCAGTGCCGCTTCCGAACTACGACTTGACCACGACACACACTCTCATCCAAACTTACCTTTCAATCATTTGAACGTGCGCAACAAAGGGTCTGCATAATCACACAGAAATCATGACCACACCCTACACCACCTCGTCACAAAGCCAGGGCTACTATCCTCCTCTCCCGGCGCATCCTCCAGCGCAACAATCTACGCCAGACCCGTCCCAAGTCGCGAGCACTTCAGCACAGGCACAGACGGCTACGCAATCTTCGCGTCAAACGGCCGAGGAGGCACGGAAGGACAGGACGTTGGCTGAGTTCCTTCTCATGTTGGACGATTATGAGCCCTTGGTATGTCTCGGCTGCCGCCTTTGGGCCAAGCACGTCTCGTTGCTGTGGCATAGCTACCTAGCAGAGGATTTTGTTGGTTGCAGAGGAGCTGACGCCCTTGCTCGCAGATTCCCAACGAGGTCACGGACTACTATCTCCAACGGGTTGGATTTGAGTGCGAGGATGTTCGACTGTGAGTCTCCAGTACATATGCAGTGCCTTACTGTCTCATACGTGATGTGATTCGGCACAGGAAACGTCTTCTATCCCTCGCTGCACAGAAGTTCGTGTCTGATATCGCCGCAGACGCGTATCAACACGCCCGTATACGTGCCAACGCGGTAGGTGGTAGGGCTCGCGCTCAGCCGACTGGCCCTGCGTCAGCGAGGGTACGTCTCTTCCCCTAAGACTAAACCTCACGTGTTGTCCTCATTCGGAATTCTGCTAGGACAAGACGAAGACCACACTCATGATGGAGGATCTCAGTGCGGCTCTGACTGAGTATGGCATAACTTCTCGCAAGCCCGAGTATTATTTGTAACGTAGACGCCAAGGTGCGGAGTTGTCTGTATGATGTGTACTAATATGGCTCGATCTTTCGCTATGCAATGACATCTGACAATGACACCACGGAGTGACAGACGGATATGTTCAGCCTCGATCCACGTTAGCCATCTCGTGCTCGGTATGCAAGACAAGAATGCGAACCATTGACTGTCGAGACACTGTCGCACGAGCTGACGGGCAGTAAAGTTCTCACACGTAGCGAGAACAAGGTCGGCGCAGGTGGACACAGTACCTTTACATGTGTTGCCATGTGAGACTTTCCTCAATGTCATGAATACAGTGCTGAAGCTCGCCAATTCCTTCAGGTTTGAGAGCAAGTGGGCCGGTATCCGACTTCGGTGTACCTTGACTTTGACTCGTTGTTCTTCACGCAGATCGCTTCACCTGTCGAGCACCGCCCTGCTCGGAGACGTCATGTCTGCGATTGCGGGCCGCACTTCACGAGAGAGTTCTACTCATGAATGCAACACTTGATCCGATGATCTAGGCAGCCCCTGAAAACCGTGCTTCAATACTATCCAATGGTCAGGGAATCAAGCGAAACATCCACGATTTTTGCGGGCCCAAGTCACACAATCCCTGCTAGGCGAACGAGCACGCCAGCGCAGATCCCGTTCGAGCTTGAGGCTGCGGTCAGGCGCCCCGCGGCCTTGCGGCTACCCCAGACCACAAATGCTGCGTTGATTAGTGCGACGATCAACCTTTCACTCGTAACTCAATGTCGATCTGGATCGGGCACGTCACACAAGACGTCCCTACGTGTATTGCGAACCGCTCTGCCCCTGGACTGTAACGCTGCGATGGAGGGCGTCCCCTTCCCAGGTAATGTTGTTCCTTGCATTCAATTGATTTGACTGCACGCACAGCGGATCTTACTTCCTGGACTCAGTACAGGAAATACTATGGTGGTTGCTGCTGACTGCGGGAGCCATTGAAGTCTATCGTCGGTCGGATCCTCGTTTCGAAGTGCGGGACAGCTCATGAACAGCAAATGCATGGTGCTCGCGGAGATGTGCTCCACCTGACTTTACAGTATGCTTTGTAGTTGCGCAGAGATCTTCCTCGCTTCTCAGTGCAAGCCATTGAAAAGGCTGGGTGTCAGTACAATGCACTCATTCGTCCGCTTTCCTCCTCTCCAACCAACGACGTCCGAGCTGTTATCATGTCGACCGCGAAGCGCAACATTCAGAAGATTTGCAACGACTCGAAGGACGGGTCTGTTCTATATGAGTTCGGTACGCATATCGCCACTAGTTGGGAACATCCTGCTCATCCAATTTCTGCAGGAGGAGAAGGTTACAAGAGCAGTGTCCGCCACTTTTTGGAGAGCAGCACCGACGTCGCTGCGTACGCTGTCCAACCTGGCAGTGAGACTACTCTGGTTGAAATCGTAGGCATGATTGATGTACTTCTGACTTCATTCGTATTGAGTGTCACGAATGACAGATGAAAGTCATCGCCAAGGAGAAAGTCCCTTTCGCTGTGAGTCCGTCATTGACGGAGGCGATACTTGCGGACTAACCGCATGCGCGTCTCAGGTGAAAGGCGGGGGCCATGCTATGTGCCCAGGCTTCAGCTCTACGACTGGTGCTCAAATTTCCATGATGCGGTTCAAGCAAGTCAAATACGACGAGAAAGCGAAGACACTTGACGTCGGTGCCGGGTGCCTTTGGGACGAGGTCTACAGGGAGGTCGCCAAGTTCAAGCGCAACGTGGTTGGCAGCGCGTCAGCCGACGGCGTTGGCGTGGCCGGCTGGCTGCTCGGAGGTGGATATTCGCTCAAGACGAACAAGTACGGGCTCGGGATTGACAACGTGCTCAAATACCGGATCGTCCTCCCCAATGGCAGGATTCGTACGGCGACGAAGGACGACAAGGATACCAAAGACCTCTATCAGGCCCTGAGGGTATGCCTGCACTTTTCGAATAGCAATTTCTGTATGCTAACAACCGACGTGAAGGGCGGGGGCAACAACTTCGGCATCGTCACCCAGTTCACCTTGAAAACGCACCCTCAGACAGCGACCTTTGTGAGCACCATCTCGTGCTTATTGCCTCCTTGGTCATGTGGATATTGACGCCGTAACTCAGGGAGCCTCTCTTTCATTTCCGGGTACCAGGGAAGACAGAGTGAAGGCCGCTATCGTAAATTTCGTGAAGGAAGAGTCTAGGCCGGAAGCCGCCATTGTGTCTGCCTTCAGACACACACTCCGTAACGGAAAACGCGAGGTGGGCTGTGTCCCTGGATCATGCAAACAATGCACTCATGACCCCTAGTATAATATATCCGTGCTCTGCGTTTTCGACGCGCCGAGACCGAGCAGAAGGGCAGATATCCCATTCCGGATGTTCGCCGACCTCATGAAAGGGAGTGCTTCGTTCACGAGCAATCCTGTTGGGTGGAACGCTCGTGGTGCCACCACGACCCTTGAAACCCTTCCAGACGCAGATGTCCAGAATGCAGGCCCTGAGGATGGCAGCGATCTTGAGGAATCTGGTTTCCGCGAGATGACAGCCGACGAAATGCACGACATCATCTCGCCGTACGACCTGGAGCCTCGTGTGCCCTTCCAGGTGGTGTCGGACCCTGACATCGATTCCGCTATCGAAGAGAATGCTAGTTTCGCCGTAAGTCCAAGCACGTTGACTGCGAGAGGTGCATCACGAGGTGGCCTCACGGCCATGAAAGGGGTCGGAGAGTTGGCCGCACGGTCAGTGTCAATTCATGTTACTCTTGCATATCTTTGACATACTTCATGTCAGCGGTCGCTTCCATTGCATCATGGTTTCGAAATACACGAAGAAGCTTATCGATGCAGTCGCGCGGGAAGCGGAAGTGAGTCCCCCGTCTATGTCAAAGTCCTGATCTGCGCTCATTCCATTGCCTGCAGGCAGCTGCGCAGTCCTTGAAGGCGAAGAACGGGCAGATGGTCTTGATCGATATCTGGCCGTTCCTTCCAAGCATCTTTGACAACAGCCCTCGTGGAGCGGCCTGGCCGCACAAGAAGGGCGCTGCATTTGGACCGCTTCTGGCGTACTTCCGCTGGGAGAAGGCGGAGGACGACAAGTTCTGGCTTCGGAAGATGAAGACGGCTCTCAAGAACATCGAGAAGGTAGCCCTCGAAGAGGGTTGCACGACCGGCAAGCTGCCATACTACTCGAACACTTCCTTGGAGGATGTGACGGCCAGGATGATATACCGCGACAATCTCAAGTCGCTCCAGAAGGTCCGGGCCAAGTACGATCCCGACGATGTGATGGGCAATACCGGAGGCTACAAGATCCCCCTTCCTAAATGATACCCCTCGTTGTTTCCCAACATGTTTTGAACCGGTCGTTCTCAATTCGCACCTTGAGGCCGTGTCATGACATTCCGTTCCGTGGCGAATCCGTAGTATGATGTCGCTGCGGCTTGGTTTCCGTAACTTGCAAATATGCATCCGACCAGTGCCTCCGACTTACCTCCAACACCCAATGCGCGAGCGTGGCCTGAGGGCGACGTCGGGAGCGCTCAATCGGCATTATGGATCGATTTCAACATACCAACTAAATTCAAACATTGGATTCGGCGGTCACGTCTCGCCCAGGCCTTGTCGCCACTCCGAGGCGTCCTAATACCTACATCATCTGAGGGGAATTCGAAATCCTGTGAGCTACTACAGCACCTATCGTGGTCAATCGTGTGTCCGCTCATTCATTGCATCTCTCGTTCTATCTCATCGCAGCATGTTCTATGAGATGCGCATCTCGTCTGCGTGTTCGAGTGACAGATGTGCGCAAGTGGGGTAGCACGCATGGCGCCCTTGCCACCGCGATGAGGCAGAGGCCACACATTCAATCCCGGATCATCATCAACCGAGAACACCAAGGGACTCGGGCACAGTTGCCATGTACAGAGTGATGATCATATGCATCCACATCCACGCACCAAATAGACGATCCCCAACTTGCGTGACTGTCCGCGCTTGGAGATTGTGAGCTTGGGCTGCACTCCCAGTACTTGCAGTCGAGTCAAAGCCGTCAATGCCACCCATCGTCAATACTCGGAAAGACTCGCCTTGGAATGGTCTGATTACCACTCGGGCAGGTCAATCGGTCTACCTGCCACTGGTATCGGTACATGCACAGGTCTACATAGCTGA